TTGCCCAGTTAGTGTGGACTCACACAGTCGGATTTCTGCCGTTAGTGTGGAAACACACGTTCGACTTTCTAAAATCGATTCCACATATTCGATTTAAGTGACATCGAAGTACTCTCGTAGTGTAGACATACCCTAAGTGGAGCTGTAGTGGCCTATGGGGTAGCTGGTAAGCTGTGTAGCACTGTTCCTTTGGGAATGGCAGATCTGGGAATTCTGTGAGTGTCCAGTGGATCAAGGGCGGGGCACTGCAGAAAGATGCTCAGAGGACTCAGTGGTTGGTGTGTACCAATTGCTGACCTGCAGAGGGACAGTGGAGCCCGGGTGAGCTGAGCTGGTAGCTGGCCCCTGGCAGCCACAGACTGGGCTTCCTTATGCTAAGTGACGGTGGTGGTGAGGTGCCTCACAAACCTGGGTACCTCCGGGCAGCATCACACTAGCTCATGTCACCTGCAGATCTCGTGGTGCTTTACAAAGGTAAGTGTCATTATTCTTATTTTACGGATGGGTAAACTGAGTCACAGAGTCGTGTGAGACCCACAGTCTCACTTGGTTATAGTGGCACAACAGGGATTTCTGATTCCCAGACTCATATCTTAACCACAACACTGACTTCACTTCTAGGCTTTCTATCAACCTTGAAAGAGTTATGCTCAAGTGGTTGCTTAAATCCACTGTAACCTCTGCAGGTGTATAGAGCCTCTGAAGGGTTCCTAAATGTACATTACACAGGTTAGGATCTTTTTGGATGAAAGAGTCGAGAAATGTACAGTAGTTGTCTCACTGTGGTACAGCAGCTCAGTTTTGCAGACCGTTTATGGGTGTGCTGCCCAGCATTGGAGCTCCCTGAAAGAAATCTGTGTTACACAGCACCTGTTTCTTCAGCATTGAGATCAGGTGTATTCCTTATTAAATGTCCCTAAATAGCCAGATGCAAATGAAAAAAAATATTTAGGGCACAACTTGATTTTCCAAAATTAGCTGAATATCCAACAGAACCCACAAATACACACCGTACTTACAAAAAATGCAAGCAAGCCTTCTCCACCAGAGGGGCAGATTCAGACATACTGTTTTCTCTTGATGCTTCCCCCAGCATCACTTCTGTCTTCTCGGGGCTGAGCCTTAGCCAGCTGGGCCTATCCAGACCCCAGTCTCAGCTAGGCACTGAGAGAAACAAGAGACCTACTGGTCTGATTAAAAAGAAATGTCATGATGAGTTCCAGACACATACTGATGCTGTCATCCAAACTATTTCACCGTCTCTTTTCACAGCCTCACGCTGGACAGAAGGAGTGACAGGATGGAGCCTTGTGGCAGACCCCAGAGAGCTTCTAGAGAGCAGAGGCAACCAACACAAACCTGTGCTGTCTTAGGCTATGTCTACACTGGCACTTCCGTCGTTAAAACTAGGGGCAACTAAAGTGCTATGATGATGATATGAGTAATAATTAATAATGTAGTAACAATTAATGATTAACGAATCATTATAATAATTTCTCATTAACCTTCCCCCAAAATAAGATGGTGAGAGAGATGGTGATAACCGATGCAATGATCAGCGTAAAGAGCAAGGGCCTAAATATTGCTTTTAAAGAGACCTACAGCTACAATGGTGATGATAGATTAGATAGATAGATACTGTCATCTTGCCCTCCGCCAGACGGGCATTGACAGTTTCTATCAGTAAAGTACACAGCATCTGCCTGTTTCATTTTCAGACACTGCACATGAAAACTATAGTACAGTACAGTAGGTGTTGGTTACATATTTTTCAGCACTTAACCGCACTATTCAAGTATATCTCCAGTGGACAATCCCTGTTTCTTCTAGCTCAGCCATGGACCTGAGTCAATCAGAACTCAGGGACAATTTAGGGGAGAGACTCCATGAAATGTTCAACCGTGTCATGAACTCCTCAGGCACAGACTGTATTATAGATCAGCTGCGGAAACAGATCACTCAGACTCAGGTGGGGCTGTTGGGAAACGTGTTTCTAATGTTTCCCTTTGGTAGCCCAGTGACCACGAATCAGTGACCAGTGACTCTACTGGCGTCAGGGACAAGGAACTGAGTTTTCTCCTATATATTGCTCCCAGACCCATTGTCATCCTACATTATCCGCAGAGAAGAGTATCAAAGGAAAGAAGGCTGTGCCACAGGTTTCAAGTAAATTCTTTCTATTCTCTCACCCATGAGTATCCTGTCACTCAAAGAAACCTCCCTAGGGGCTGCTGGAGGATCCCTGTCCCAATTATAGATGACAGAGTCTCTGCCCAGTTGCCTGGGCCAACTGACAAGTGCCCTCTGCAGGGTGCTGTCTACACAAGTGCCCTCCATGATGCCTCCTCTCTGTGTGTTCTGGGGGGTGGGGGAGAATTTCAAGGGCAGTTCTGGGCCTACACTGCCTTACCACGCAGGGGGCAATGCCAGTATTGTGGCAAAGGATGTATTTCTTCCCCTGCACTAAATATTGCCCATCTCCCTTTCATTTCTGCCACACCTCTGGGTGTCTGTGGTAACTCCAAGTTGTCACTGCGAGCTGAAAGGGCTGTTTCAAGTTAGTGAGCAACAAGTACATGTATTTCCAAAATTACTACATTTTATAGTCTAGAGAAATGGAGGGGCCACATCTTAATAACTGTGTCTCTTGATGCCCATTCAGGAACGTGACTTCCACTATTTTAGTCACATAGCTTCTTAATGACACGAAGATTTCAGAGTGTTTAACCATTAGGGTGACCAGATATCCCGATTTTATAGGATTTTTTTGGGTCTTTTTCTTATATAGGCTCCTATTACCCTCCACCCCATGTCCTGATTTTTCACATTTGCTGTCTGGTCACCCTATTAACCATGTAATCGGTTTTTGATAGGAATACTGCTGGAATTCCTTGTATGAGCATGAAACTGACGTTTTGCTCTAGAAAGGGAGAAGGGTTAAAAGAAGAGGCTCCTGGCTCAGCCCAGAAAAAGAATTTCTGCACTTTCCTTTACGAGGGGAGACAACCCCTTCCAGCTTCTTGTGCCTGTGTCTTACTGGGAGAAAGCAAGAATTTCCTAGGAGTTTCTTGGATTATCCTGAACACTTCTTTTAATAAAACAACAGAGAAGCTATTATTCTCCAAGTCCCATGTACCATCCAAGTTTGTAACAACCTAACACAACAAGAATACATTAAAATAATTTCATAAAGCACAATTTCGCATCAGTGCTGAAGTCCATCTCCGACATGACTCAGAGCCGAACCTCCCAGAGCTGAATCATCAATCACTGGCTGGGTACAGCTGGTTTCTCTAATCTCTTAGGTTTCTGTTCTCAGGAACAGAAACTCAAAGTGCACCAGTAACACAAGACAGTCTCAGAAGCTATAGTGAGAGAAAGCCATGGCTGCTGGCTGGAATGGAGGTAAAGATGGTGCAGCAATGCATATGTCTGTGTACATGTTTGCAAGTATATACATATATCTGGGCATTCGTGTTTCTATGTCTATACAGTATATATGTACATTTATGTGTGTTCATGCCTATATGAAATTAGGGGCATATATATGTACATGCATCTGTATGGCTGTTGTTGATCTATGTATATAAGATATGTATATTTAATAGATACCTCTGGTTTGTTTAGCTCTCTGAGTGTATTTATATACATATAGTGTTTTTAGTTACGAACCTGTCAGTAAAGACAGACAAAAATCACTGACAGTAAAATGGTTTTTTTACATCAGTACTAAACAGGTATTTCTTACAGAGACAAAAAGGTGAGAGAATACAGCAGAGCGGAGGCAGTCTAGATTCTAAGTTATAGTAGATATACATACTGGTTTTATCAGAGTTAAAAAATGGCTTTTCTTTGTAATTAGTACATCCTATTGGGTCCATCTTTCCTCAAACAGTTCTGATTTTTGTGTCTGTCTATACTTATATGTTTGTGTCTGTCTGTATGGGTTTACCTGTATTAAAAAACTTGCACCAGTGTCACTAAATAGTGATATTGTGCAAAACCCCCACTCCTGTCTCTGTTCATATGTGTACCTTATGGGCCTGATCCAAACCTATTGATGTCAAGGAGAGTCTTTTCACAGTTTCAGTGGGCTTTGGATCAGGCCCTAGCTTAGGGTTACCATATTTTGAGTGTCCAAAAAGAAGACACTCCACGGGGCCCCGGCCCCACCCTCAGCCCGCCCATGCCCCCGCCCCAACTCCACCCCTTCCCCAAAGTCCCCGCCCAAACTCTGCCCCCTCCCCTGCTTCCCGCGAACC